AGCCCACCATCCACAGTCCTTCCCCACAGCTGGCCCCACCCCCAATAACCCCCCCAACCCCAATCGGGGGCGGGTCCCACCAGCCAATCGCCTGCGGCCCCTCCCCGCAGCCAGCCTGGCCCTAATCGAGCCCCAATTGGGGCAGGCTGGCCAGCCAATCTCCCACCATCTCCTCCTCCCAACAGGCCCAGCCCCGATCTGCCCTGATTGGGGCCCGGCCAGCTGGACCCCACCTGTGCACGAATTCATGCACTGGGCCTCTAGACTATATAATAAAAGCCCAGTGGCCATTACAGCGGAACAACCGGAACGACCGGTTGCTATGACACGCTGGCTGCAGGGGCCACCACCACCACTGCTGCTGCTGAGCCTGAGGGCCCCAGGGCCAGATGCATGGCCGCCGCCAACGTGCCAGTAAAGGAGAGCACGAAGGTGGCCAGCGTGAGATGAGGTTCTGTGGGATGAATTCAGTCAGCTGGGCCCCGAGATGATCGTCATCAAGGCTGGCAGGTCAGGGCACCCCTCTCCTTGCTGCGACCCTCCCCACATGGTGCCAGTCTCGGGCAGTGGGCTTTGGCTCAATCCACACGAGCAAGACAGAAGCGGGGTGAGGGGGTGCAGCCTAGCCACCTGTTCTCCATGTCCCGGCTCTAGTGACAGCCACCTGGCACACTGGGCCAGAGGGTACTGCTTGGGAGGCCAGGAAGGTGGTGGAGAGAAACCCTGTGGACTGCCACCCAACCAAGAGCCCAGGACCCAGCACTACCAGAAACAGACTGGCTCAGAGCACACCGAGCTTGGGGGAAAGGCAGCCGCCTATGGGGGGCCTTGCCACCAGCCAGCTCCCGGTGGATCACACCTCAAAGGAAACTCGGTCTTTGGTTCCTTAGTTCAGTCTATCCCAGCTAAAGAGGGGCAGCTGGGCACATTTTAGAGGAGAATTAAGACTCTAAAACAGTGTGTTCTGTTCTGTGGAGATTGCTACCCAGGCATCTTAGGCCTAAATTCTGGGTGATTGTATTTGTTGTAAGGGCCCAAAGAGAAGAAGGGAATCAAGTTTTTCGATGCAATGTATTTGACCAACAGACCAAGGCAAGTGCCGGCTATGTCTAAGGTACACACAGAGACACCAGCTCTGAGTCCACCTGGCCAAAGGGAACTCGAGCCCTGTTTGCAGAGCCTTCTGGGGGGTTTCCGTTTCCTTGCTGAGGCTGTCCTCCCTGGGAACCCTGGGGCCCATGCTCAGCTCCAGCTCAGTGGGTCTTCTCCAGGCCCCACCCCCTGGCCAGCCCCGCCCCTGATTGGCCCCCCCAACCCTGATGGGGGGCTAGGGGGTCCCACCCAGCCAACTGCCCGTGGCCCCTCCCCCAAGCCAGCCTGCTGATCAGCCCCAATTAGGGAGAGCCAGCCAGATCCCACCCATGCACGAATTTGTGCACTAGGCCTCTTGTTAGTGTATAAAAAGCAGCTACAGATGGTCTGAGAATAGATTCAGGTATAACACATGTTGTTAAATAGGGAATTTACAGAATAATAGAGCAAAGCAGTAGGCATAATAATCCCGTTCTTTAAAAAGGTAATTATATTTATCCATATATAATTATTTATAGAAGAAAGTCCGAAAGGATATACATCAAACGATTAACAAGATTGGAGAAAAGGTATTCACATTTTACTTTATATGTTTCATTTCATTTGTTTTCCTTTGTTAAAATAACCACATAATAATCTTCTTAAAATTAAATTTATTTTTAAAAAGGAAGTGAAGAATACTTCCTTCTTGAATGGAAGATGTCATATGACTATCCCAAGGAATTCTAAGTCATCCAGGATATCAGGGTTGATTCCAAAAATAAATGAACACAGGGGAGCACTCTATCACCCAAGGCACGATTCCACATGTGTGCGCCCAAAGATGTATTTTTGGGTAATTTTTGTGTACTAAGTCATGCAGACATGGTGACAGGTCCATTTAAGTAGAAGTTGCAAACAAAATAATTTCTTAAAAATAACCATTCATTCGAAGGTGACCATGAGAGAGAGGGTCACTAAAAGGTGGGTTTTTAAAAGTAGCCAACGGCAATCATGACAAAAAAGATTCTGCTTTTGCAAGTTGCTTCTTCCTGTGAACGAACATTCCAGATATAGGCAGGTACTTCTACAGAGACAACATGCCCACTGGAGTCATCAACTGCCTATAAACATCACCAGCGAACTTCAAAAAGTGCACAGTTGATTTTTTCATTGGAAGAATGAGGTATATAAAATTTTAATTGGCTGATTAAATCACAAACAGATATCTATAAACATTAAGCTACTTGGATCTTCCACAAAAATAAAACTTAGACACATTAGAATCTTTACTTGCAGATAAATTAAAAAATTCACACTAAAGCCCTGGCCAGTATGACTCAGTTGACTGGAGCATAGTCCTGTACACCAAAAGGTGGTGGGTTCGATTCCTGGTCAGGGCATATACTCGGGTTGTGGGTTTGATCCCTGGTTGGGGTGAGTGTGAAAGATAACCAATCAATATTTCTCCCTCTCCCTCCCTCCCTCCCTCTCCCTCTCCCTCTCTCTCTCCCTCCCTCCTGCCTTCCCTCTCCCTCCCTTCTCCCTTCCTCTCTCTAAAATCAATTAGAAACAAAATTCACACTGAGGAGCAAACATTTTCTGGTTACTCCTCAGTCAGTAACCAATTAGCTATCAATGGGGTTATCAAAACAAAGGACTCTTGCCTCCACAATCTAATACACGCACCTTATGAAAAAAGACATTTCATTATAAGAAGAGGGGGGAGGAAAAAGGGGAATGCAAAGATAGCTCACCTCACCAGTGTCAAGAACAGCCATGGATGAGGTCTGACCACAGGCAATGCCTACTACCCTCTTAATATGTAAACAATTTGTAACTTTTCGAGGAGTTGGTTGATTTGCTGTAGATCCTGATCCCACCTGGCCACAGTTGTTATAGCCCCAAGCAAATACCTACACAAAAGAAGGGGGGGTGGGGGGCGGAGATAATGGTAAGGGTGAAAATTCTACAATCATAAATAAACCCACTTAACAAAGTACTTACAATGTGCTAAATGGCTGAGTGCTTTACTGCATTAACCTATTCAGTCATCACAGTAACCTGTACTGTGACCCAGGGGTAGACACTATTACCATCCCCATTTTACACATGGAAATGGAAATGGAAATGCAGAGAGGTTAAGTGATTTGCTCAAGGTTCCAGAGTTAGCAAGTAGTAGAAGTGGAAGTTGAACCCAACACAGTCCAGCTGTGCTCTTCACCACTACACTGCATTGCCTCTATAATTATGGCAGTCATATGTTTTTTAATCTGGCATCAATTAAAAATGAAGTATATGCTACATAAGTATCGTAACATGAAGAAAACCTGCTTAACTCTTTGGTCATAACATTTTTTTAAGGAAACTTTCAAAACCATACTATGCTTTTTCCCTGTCCAATACTGGACATTCATAACCTTTCCCAATGACCCAGGACCATCATTATTATAATTATCAATCATAGTTCCACAACATAACATAGAAATGATTGGAAGCACTGCGGAGACATTTATCTCTACAGAAATGACACCAAGCTGTTAGTCTGTTCTTGCAAATAGTTCCTCTGCATCCTGCTTATTAATTTTGGCCTGTGATCTGCCATAACCTGAAACCATCTTTCTAATAAAGAGAGAGACATAAACAGATCTCTAAGCTAGTTAAAATCTAGTAACAAAGATGAAAAATAACCAAAACATCACTTCAGGTTAATTACCAAAACATTCTATCAAACAGGAGTGTGATCAGAGAGGAGAATTAGGGGAAGGGGAATTTTGGCAGTAGAGAAAATAAACTTCTACACTAAGGAACACTTCCTGAAAGTAGATTCACAGAAAAATATACATATACATATTAAAAAAAGAGGAAATATGCAAATTAGGCCAGGACGCCATAACAGGTCACCACCGAACAGGAGGAGGTTGTTCGGGCAGGTGAGGTCTGGAGCAGAGACAGAGACAGAGATAGGGAGACTGGCAAGGTGCCCCCCCAGCTCAGGCCAGCCTCCCAGAGCTGGAGCCTGGAGTGGACAGACAGGGACAGGGGGGCCGGTGTCCACAGAAGGGACACAGCTCCCTCCTGGCTCCCATGGACGCCAGCAGCTCACTTCCGCCTCCCGCGGAAGCCGCAGGGCTCCATAGAAGCAACATGGCTCCTGGAGGCGCGCTGCGGCTCCCAGGCTCCCACGGGCTCTCGTGGAAGTGGCGGGCGGCCTACTGCGCACAATATTGCATGATGTGCTACTAGTCTAGTATAATAATGCAAATATTTAGCACAATTATCCAAAGTAACATATGCTTAAGGTAAAAATTACCAGGAATCTAAACTGTACAAATTAGTAAGTTCCAATTTCAACAATCATTCTTCTGGAACTTCTCAAATATCCTAGTTCCCTTGCAATGCAACTGTCTTTTATTTTAAAAACTAGAGGCCTGGTGCACATATTTGTGCACAGGTGGGGTCCTCAGTCTGGCCTGTGCCCTCTCACAATCCGGGACCCCTTGGGGGATGTCAGACTGCCAGTTTCGGCCTGACCTGTGGGGATCAGGCCAAAACTGGCAGTCCGACATCCCCTGAGGAATGTAGTAGTGCACGAAGCAGCAGGCAGCTGGGGAGGAGACCGGGCACTGTATCACTCCCGCTCATCCCGGCCCTGCTGGTGCCTGCCACCACCGCCACTCGGTAGCATGCTGCTGAGGAGGCAGGAGAGGCTCGTGCTGCCGCAGCTGCACTCACCATCTGTGAGCCCATGAGCCCGGCGTCTGGTGCCCCTCAGCCAGCTGAGCGGCACTCCTGCTGTGGGAATGCACTGACCACCTGGGGGCAGCTCCTGCATTGAGTGTCTGCCCCTTAGTGGTCAGTGTGCATCATAGTGACCAGTCAAATGGTCATTCAGTTGCTTAGTCTTTTATATACAGAGATGGGGATTGTAGTTCTAACCAAGAAGCAGACTAGGAAACAGTGGATTCTGGGGCATAATGCCTATATGCTAGCCTGGCTCCACCCCATCCCAGCTATGAAACCTTGATTTCCCTGAGCTTCTTTGATTTCTCCATGCATAACCCATCCTATGTAGTAAAATCACTGTAACACAATTGAAGTACTTTAAACAGGGAACAATATGACCTGCTTTGTGTTTTAGAAATCACAGGAGGTGGAGAAATAATACTAGACAGGTAGACCAATGAAAAAGCTGTGGAATAAAACATCAGAGTAACAAGGCCTGACCTAAGATTATGGAGACGGAGAGGAACAAAATGATATGAGATTAGAAAGTAGAGTCAACAGGATAAGTAACCTTTAAGATAAACATGGAACTTATGGGGTAAATAGTACAGCTCCTACTGGAATGTTGGTAAAGTTATTTTCTGACATCATTACATTTACAGGAAAAAAAATACACCTTAAGGGATGGGGTAATTTAAAAAAAAAGTACAGAACACTGTCATACACCTCTAATTTGTAGTATTAGTAAACAGCATGAGACGCAACTGCTTTAAGACTGAAATCTACCATCATCAAAGAGTGTTCCTGATCACATAATACAGGATGTGTTAGAAAAAGAGTATGTTCCTACATTGTGTTTAGCTACACACACAGAGCTACTATGTTCACACTATATCAAATACAATGTGGTCGTTATATTTTTGGCACTTTCACAATAGTTAAAAGGTAGAAACAACCCAAATGTCCAGCAACAGATAAACAAATAAACAAAATGTGGCATATAAATATAATGGAATATTATTTAGCCTTAAAAAGGAAGGAGATTCTGACACATGCTACCACCTGGATAAATCTTGAGGACATTTTGCTATGTTAAATAAGGTAGTCGTAAAAGGAAAAATACTGTAGATTCCATTCATAGGAGGCACCTAGTGTAGTTAAATTCATAGATACAGAAAGTGATCGCCAAGGGCTCAGGAAAGAGGAAATGGAGAGTTAATGATTAACAGGTATAAAATTTCAGTTTTGCAAGATAAAATGAGTTCTGTGGATGAACGGTGGTGATGGTTACACAACAATGTAAGTGTAGTTAATGGCACTGCACTGTACACTTAAAATGGTTAAGATATCAAATTTTATATTCTGTGTATTTTAGCACAATTTAGAAAATAAAGAATAAAAGCAAGGTACTTACCTCTCCATCAGCTGCCAAAGCCACTGAATGATGGGAGCCACAAGCTACTTCAACCACTTGTTTGATCAAGAGATTGGTACAGACTTGGATGGGAGCAATGCCTTGGTTGGTTGTCCCATTCCCAAGCTGGCTATATCCATTGTGGCCCCAGGCGTAAACAACTCCATCTATAGAAGATGGCCACACACAAAGAATCAGCTCCAAGAAGAAATAGCATCCCTCTACTTTTCCCCCAGATTTTGCACAACTCATTCACCTACCTTAATTTTTTCACATTGCCCTTCTCCCTACAAAGTAACCACTGATGAGGAGTGAGGGAAATAGAAAAAATAGGATAGACAGATGCAAAATCGTTAAAGAAAGGACTAACATAGAAAGAAGATCAGCTTTGTGGTCAGAAGTCAGTTTATATATGAAAAAATTTGACCTTCTACACATTTTGAATCATCTCAATAGTTTCTGTGTCAGGTATCAAGCAAAAGGGAAAACACAGGCTGGTCAGGCACCCCAGTGGGGACCCCCACCCTGATCCAGGACACCCTTCAGGGCAAACCAGCCGGGCCCACCCATGCACCAGGCCCTATCCTATATAGTAAAAGGGTAATATGCCTCCTGGCACCGGGATAG